GATGTGTCTCAACCATTCCCCACAAGAAATATGGATCGGCATTTCAAAGGATCAAGGTTAGTGGCCAGAAGGTAGAGTATGAAGGCAATATAGCGTATTGCTCTTATTGTGGATTACTGGGGCATACCGGCAGGATGTTGTCGCAAGAATATTCGTGTAACTAAACTTCAAAGTGTGCCAAAACCTAAAACAAAAATGGAGTATGTTCCGAAGAAGCTGGTGATACCGTTGGGAGAAAATAAGGAGCTTTTGGCTTCGGAAAAGGTAGTTGGGACATCTGGTGAGGCTTCCGACACGAATAATGCTGACAAGATTTCGAACAAGTTTAATTCTCCTGTGCAGATTTTAAAACGCTCAGATGTTGACCCTTCGAGATTGGCTGATATGAAGGAAGTTCTAAAGGGCACGGGTCTGCTTAGTGACGAGGAGACGGAAACCCCAAAATCTATGTCGAGTTCACACGGCAACCGTTTTGCTCTTCTTTCTATGGAGAATTTCGGTAATGGGGACCAACAAGTGGCAAAAAATGTTACACAAATTCATGTTGACGCACAACAGATTTTTTCTAACAGTGAAAAATTGTCTAGTCCATCTCGTCTAGACTTGGGATATCAATTGGCAGGCACTGAGGAAATCACGGAAAACCATTCCCTGGGTACGGTAGTTGATGTTCAAACGGCTGGACGTGTTGAGGAGATTAATGTTGTGCTTCCTAATTTGTCGACGGGTTCTCTAGCAGCTAAACGACTGGATGTGGGTTATCAATCAGATACGGGGGAGATTAAGAATAAGGGTACACTGTGTGTTTTCTCTGATAATGAGAATGATAAGGTGGAAAATGCGCACGTTATGCAAGTTGTCGAAAAACGAAAACCAGGTAGACCTCGAAAGGTCCAGATTACAGATCTCTCCTCTACATTACCCTAATGTCTGTGCTTTTTTGGAATATTCAAGGGATCGGGAAACCGGAATCTTTGGCGTATTTTTCACAATGGATTCGGGAGCATAAACCAGGTGTTATAGGGATTAGTGAACCGAAGCAAATTAACGATAAAATTGGTGGCTATGCTCGTAAACTTGGGTATCCAAATTACCATGCAGGTGATAAAATTTGGATTTTTTGGTCTACAGATTTTGCAGTTAACATATTTTCAGTTACGGATCAGGCCATTACCATGATGGCTCACGGCTTGATTTCTTCTACATGGATTACCTTTGTTTACGCCAGTTGTAATAGAGATGAGCGACGTCAATTATGGGATACTATTCTTTCGCTGAGTGACGTGTGCACTGGATCATGGATTGTTGGAGGCGACTTTAATATTATTCTTCATCTTGATGAGAAAAATGGAGGTAATGCAGCGGATCTGAGGGGTATTCAGGATTTTCGCGAGTGTATTATTCAAGCCGGTCTTTCCGACATTGGTTTTGTGGGAAATCGATATACCTGGAGTAACAATCAAAGAGGTAGTCGAAGAATATGGGAGCGGCTGGATAGGATTCTCATTAATGGTGAGGCACATGTGTCGTTGCCTTCGATTGAGGTTCATCATCTAGCGCGGGTGGGTTCGGATCATGCTCCATTGCTGATGGTTACGGGACAACAATTGAAACATAAGAGTCGATTTATGTTCCAACGTATGTGGCTTGACTACCCATCCTTTTTGAGTTTTATCTCTCAACATTGGATTTCTTGTGGTACAGGTAACTTGGGTTATCAGTTGCAACGTCGTCTTTCTTCGCTCCGTAAGAAGATCAAACAATGGAATTGGGAGGTTTTTGGCCATCTCTCTGTTACTATTCATACTCTTCAACTGCAGATTGCCGATATGGAGAAGTCGTTACAAATTGGTTGGTCTGAGCAATTGGAGAATAGTTTGGCTGATCGTCGGAATCAATTATCTCAACAGGTGGCATGGAATAATGAGCTGCTGCAACAAAAAACTCGAATTAAGTGGATTGAAGAGGGGGATCGCAACTCAGCATTTTTTCACTCCACTATCAAGGACCGTCGACGTAAAAACCGTGTGGTTCTTACTAACGAGGATGGGTCTATGGAAACCAATTCTAAAATAATTGGGGATAGAGCGGCTGCTCATTTTGCTGCGCTATTTTCAGCATCGACTTATTATATAATGATGAGCTATTTCAGGATTACCCTCGTACGATTACGGCGGAAATAAATTCAATTCTGACATCTATTCCTACCGAAGAGGAAATTTGGGCAGCGGTTCAGCAGCTTAATCCGGATAGTGCGCCTGGTCTTGATGGATTTTCGGGTCATTTTTACGTAGGATGTTGGTCGATTGTGAAGCATGAAGTGATTTCGTTTATTCAAGGTTTTTTCATGGGAGATCAGTTGAGCCGCTCAGTTACTATGACCTCTCTGATTCTTTTACCGAAGGTGGAGTCGCCCAAAGGTTTTGGTGATTTTCGTCCGATTAGTTTGTCTAATTTTACTAGCAAGCTGATATCCAAAATTCTTGCGAACAGATTATCTCAATTTCTTCATTTAGTTATTAACGAGGAACAAGCCGGTTTTATTAAGGGTCGGAGCATACATGAGAGTATTATTCTAGCACAGGAATTGGTGGAAGATTTTGATCGACGAACTCCTGGAGGTAATCTTATTTTTAAAGTCGATATGTCTAAAGCTTATGATCGCTTGGAGTGGCGCTTTCTTATTCGAGCTATGCGTAATATGGGTTTCAATGAGCAGTTCATTGACCTCATTTATCGTAATATCTCGAATATATGGTATTCAGTTTCAATAAATGGAGATAATTATGGTTACTTTAAGTCTTCTCGAGGGGTTCGGCAGGGGGATCCTTTATCTCCTATGCTTTTCATTCTCGCCCAACAAATTTTATCTCATAATCTGAATAAATGGCAAAGAAACGGCACCATATTTCCTTATAAGGTAGGTCGTGGTGGGCTCAGCGTATCTCATCTTTTTTATGCTGACGACATGCTCTTATTTACCAATGGATCTAAACGATCGCTGCACCATTTCATGAAGCTGCTGAAGGAGTATGCCAAATCTTCTGGGCAAGAAATTAACTTTCAAAAGAGTGGCGTGTATACTCCTAAACGGATGTCACAGGAACGTGCGCACTTGGTATCGGTTTGGACGGGTTGTACTGTGAAGAAATTACCGCTGCAATACTTGGGAGCTCTGATAGTTAAAGGTCATATTCGCGCTTCGTATTTTGATTTATTACTTCATCAAATTGCTGTCAAACTAGATAGATGGAAAGCTAAATTGTTATCATTTGCTGGTAAAATTACCTTGCTCAAATCCGTTTTATGCAGTATGCCCATACATACATTATCTAGTGTGGTTGTTCCGAAGATGGTGATTTAAAAGATTGAGCGTTTGATGAAGACTTTTTTGTGGTCGAAACAAGGGAATCGTCGTACCTCGTGGGTTTCTTGGCATTCGGTTTGCAAACCTGTTAGTGAGGGAGGTCTAGGTATTCGGTCTTTGGTTGAGACAATGCATGCATTAAGGGGTAAATATGCTTTTCAATTGATGCGAAAACAATCGCTTTGGGCTCGGGTTATTCTGAGCAAGATTCGAGGTAATCTTTATGGATCTCTACCTATATTAAGCTCCAAAATGTTGAAAGCTATTTGGCCTCATATACAGGTGTTGCGCGGTCATAGTCGATGGATTATTGGGGAGGGGCAAATTGATTTTTGGCGAGACATTTGGCTCGGGACCCCTATCGACTCGGATTTTACTGGTGAATTATTTTCTGTGAGTGCAGGTATGCACATGAGATCTCATCTTGCTGTTTTGGTTTCGTCGGAAATATGGGAGAGAATTAAGTTAATTCATATTCAACCGGAGCATAAGGATGAATTAATATTTACAAAGACTCCATCTGGGCGGTTCTCGGTTAGCAAGTATTGGGACTTACGACGGCAACGTGGGGTAGTGGTCGATTGGGCAGATATAGTTTGGAACAAATATACCCCTTTTCGTCTTAATGCGTTTATGTGGAGATTTCAATGGAATGCTCTTCATCTTGACGACAAAATTCAAACACGCGGGATTCCTCTTGTGTCTCGATGTTTATGCTGTGTCTCTCCCCAAACCGAGAATATAATTCATTTATTTTTTCGATCTGAGGTGGCTATAGCAGTATGGAGATATTTTTCTCACAAATTACATAAACCATACATTGGTTTGATTGGCTTTCAATTGCTTCGGAATTGGTTACATGATATTCGGAGAGACACTCAGCTCGGTATTGGCACTTTGAGTCTCTTTTTCTATATTGTTTATGAAATATGGAAAGATCGATGCATGGCATTATTTCTAGATATCCCGATGAATGCTTCTCGTATTATCAAGAAGATGGAGTTCCAATTCACGATTCTTAGCGGGATTTCACTTCCTCGTACACCAGGCAATCCGAGGGAGCAGCAAGTTTTGGCTACGTTTCATATTCCATTGCGTCAGGTTTCTTCGCGAAAAGGCAGTTGGGTGGTTTGGCATAAACCTGTGAGTAATTGTTTGAAGATTAACACGGATGCGGCGCATCGACCGACTACCTTGGCAGGAGCTGGAGTAGTCAGGGATAATAATGGCGAATATCTCACGGGATTTACTTTATATTTTGAACATACGTGGTCGGTTTTATATATTGAGATTTTTACGATATTGCATGCGATTGTCTTTGCTGGGGAATATGGTTTTTCGCAAGTGGTGGTGGAATCGGATTCTGAAATTGGAGTCAAAATGATTAAAGGTCTGACGGATCCTCATTGGGAAGTCATTCAGCTGGTTCGTCGATGTCGTCGAGCTATTTTTCCTGGGCTACGTATTCAATCTTGTTTCCGCGAACAAAACCGAGTAGCTGATGCGCTTGCCAAGGATGCTTTGATATCTAAGAAAACGGAAAATGGTGTCACTTCGGAATCCCTTCCGTACCACATAAAAAAATTATTGTTTGAAGATAGAATTGGGCTATGGAATTTTCGAAGATAGGATGCTGGTTTGCGGATCGTGATTCCATGCAGAGCGATTTTGATCGTTTCTTCTTTTGTAGGCTTACTTTAGCCCAGTGGTTATTTAGGAGATTATTCTTCGAAGCTTTTATTCACATTATGTAGGGGTACTCTTTTTCCTTGTGATTGGCCCACATAGCTCAACCGATTTATTCGAACGTCCA